CCCCTGACAGGTCCTCTCTCTAACCCCCCGGGGGGATCCAGCCCTACGTCTTGTTAGTTTTATGTCCTGTATCTCTTGAATCCCTTTTTCTGTCCACCCTCGCTGCCGCCACTCTAGTCCATCTGCCTTTGTCTCTCACCTGGACAGCTGCAGCTGCACCCTAGCTGCCCTCCCACTCTTGCCTGGCCCTCCTGAGTCCTTTCTCCACTCAGCACCCAGAGCCATCTCTGCAAAACACCCTTGCACCCACCTGCTTAAGCCCTCCAATGGTGTCCCATTGTCCTTTGTATAAAGACAAAATTCCTTTGGGTGCCCTATGAGCCCTTGTCTGTGGTCGTGCTGCCCCTTGCTCTCTGCCCCTCATCTACTTTGGCCACCTCTCCCAGTTCCTCAAACATACCATGTTCCCTCCTACCCCAGGGCCCTGACACATGTTCTTGCCTCTTCCCGGACCACTTTCTGCCCTACCCATGTTTGCCTGGTTAACTGTCACTTATCCCTTAGATGTCGACTTAACAGTTACTTCCGGAAAAGCCTTCCCTGACCCTCAGGCCAGCTCAGGTGCCTTTATTAAAAGCTCTCCTAGACCAGAGTTCCTTTCCTATAGAGTCCCTAGCTGAGCTTACAGTTAGGGATTCACGAGCATGGCTCCTTGGCGTCTGTCTTGACGTGCCACCGCATTATAAGCTCCAGGAGCACAGGATTCTTGGTTCAGTTCCCTGTCTCACCCTGTGCCTAGCATCATGCCTGGCTCTCGGTAGGGACTCCATCCACCCCGTGGGATGAGTGTTTATCTCTGAAGTTCAACAAGGACCAGAGCTTTCCCAGCCTGCCATTTCGGGATTGTCTTAGCGCGCAGGCCTACTTTCCCCGGCATCCTTGCCGTGGTCGTGCTCCCTTTACCACCCAGATCATTTTTGTGGACAGGTTTGGTGTTTACACCGGACAGGAGCTGTTCGTCAGGTGCTTTGCACAGGGTGCTTGTCAAGTCCTGACCTATGAGGACCTCTGTGCTTCTGAATGGCGGGTGTACTCAGAGTCTTTGTGGATGGGATTATACCCAAATGCTAGTAGAAGGGCTCTCGCTGTTTACAAGAACCCTGGGGTGGAAAAAAAACAATCCTTCGGTAAAGCAAATAATTACCAGCTAATTGGTCCCTTTCGTAGCTGCAGTTTGCTGTATGTACTGAGAGCTTTTATTAGCTACCTACTAGAGAAATGAGTGGCGTTAGCTGGCTAAAAGGTCTTTGTGGGAGTAGGGTCCAAGGACCCTGGTGGTAATGGTGTCTTCTCAGTTAACTGGCTCTACCTCCAAGTCTCAGAAGTGATGTCAAAGGTATTCAGTGGTTCCCACAAATAAATTGTTACTGTGTACAAACTCCCCAGTGAGTTGAAGAGCTAATTCTCTTTCTGTATCCGCCCCAGTCTCCCATCTCAGATGCATAACACCCTCTGGCAGCTCCAGTGTCTCAGTATTGGCGGGTAAAAAATGCCAACCTGAAAGGCAGGTGGTCTGGCGGGCAGGTTGGCCTGGGTCTTGTCCTGGCTTGTCACTGGCTGTCTGTGTAAGCTGCAGCGTCCCTTCATCTGTTTGACCTCAGTCTCCGCCTGCCTGATGCGTTACTTACGTGTGTTGCGCTCCCTCTAAGAAAACGGGTTAGAGGTGCTTTGAAAAGTCTACTTTATTCAAATCCAGGGAGCTCTGAGGATTGAAATAGACCAGTTGGCAAATTCTAGTTTTCCAGTGTGAAGATCTTTTAATGCTTGATCTTCTATTCTCATGCGTGACCTTCTTGTATGAGTGCATCTACTTCCCCGTGCCTCAGTTTCCCCATCTGTGAAACAAGATGGGTTGATTCTGGGTTGGCAAATAAGAGAACTAAATGCTGTCCCCCTCTGTCCTCCCACAGTTAAGGCAGACATCACTAATGAAGTCCGAGAACGCAGTCCTTCTGAGCAGAGCGCCACAGCCAGCCAGCCAGGGCTACTGTATCCAGGCTGGCATTGCCAGCGAAGCTGTTTGCCAGTCGTGGAGAGCAAATCCTTGCAAATCAACCGTGAGGTGCCTGAGGGAGAATCAAGGCCCAGGGAGGTTGACTTGCCGAAGACTTGGGGGGTAAGTGCATCTGTGAACTTACAGCCAGCTTTGGGATGGTGTTTTGGGTGGGTTCTTATGTTTGGAACATACTGAACAGGTCCGACTCAGGGCCAAGATGGGCCCTTCGTGTGTTTCAAAGGCATCACTTTTTTCTTCTGCCCGCCTCGCAGGAGGCCCTTGACTTTGTCATCTCCCAGAGGTCTCTGTGTGAGTTCCTTTGTCTGGCTGCCTCCCCTCTCGGGTGACCATGGCAGAGACCCCAACAGGGATTCTGCTTGTCCCTGTGGAAGCAGATCCATGGCCATGTCCCTCCCTGAGGCCTGGGGCTGAGCACGTTGCTTGGAACACGTATTTGGGGCCAGGAGCCCCAGGAGGTGCCATCCTTTCTTTAGAAGCAAGCTCGTTTCCCATCTCAGAGGTGCCCCAGGCAGAGGAGTGAGGACAGAGAGTTATTCTGTGGGGAGGGGAGGGGCCTGGGGAGTCTGTGCTGCATCAGGAAGCTTAGGTGAGTGGCTCAGAGCTCTCCCGCCCTCTCTCCCCGCTCCTTCCAGTGTTGGGTCCTGTGCAGGCACGTGGCCAGGGAAGGAAGGGCGGGCGTGACAAATGGGGCCTGAGCTGAATTCAGGTGTGGGGTGGTGAGTGGGCAGTGCGATGTTTGGCATGGGCTCCCGAGGGCAGCAGGCCCGGTTGAGACACCAGCTCTATATCGTGGGTGGGGTGGGGACTGGACTTAGGGGCAGAGGCCTGCTTGCTCGGGGCCAGAACAGGGCGGGTGGAGGTACCACGGGAGATGCGAAGGTCCTCTCTGGTCTCTGGACCTCTCTCATGCCCTTCTCTAATTTTATTCTTTCCATTTTGCTTAAGAAATTGATGTAATGAAGACGTTATGTGGCGCAGCAGGCCAGACCCCAAGTGTGACCTCCAAACCCCAGATCCAGATAACCCTCCCCCACTGCTCAGGCATGTCCCAACGGCCAGGTACCCCTGCTTGTGAATTCTGGGCGTCTCACACAGGCATTTTCCTCCGACCTGGTTATGCCGTTTAACAAATTCATTTGGGGGCGAGCTCGGAGATGAGGTTCAGAGGAGAGAAAGAATTGTCGTTTCTTCTTAACCGTCCCCGGGATGCCTCGAGCAGGCTTGGAGGATTCTCACTAATCTAATCCCTGTCAGAAAAGGAACGATAAAACAATTCAGGCTTTAGAAGTCAAATCCCCTTCCTGCACTCACACTACGGTCTATCTCTCTCCTGTGCCATTTTCCCTCCTCTGTGATGAAGCCGAGGTTCAGCTTCTCTGTAAGGGTTTCAGTGGATAAGGATTTCATATTTCACTCTTCCATTTTTCATATTTAAATTTGCTTTACTCTCCGGTTTGACTTTCTACTGACCCTTGAAGAATTGGCATATTTTAAGGAGGGGGAAGAGATCTCATTATAGGAAATGAGAAAAATGGGGCAGAGTTTTAAAACTTTTAATGACTAAAACACAGTGTTCCAAGTCGGTATTGCAGTGGGGTTGAAGTCACCGTTTGGTTACAAGTCTTTAGGTCTAAACGGGGTTGATGACATCTGTTTAATTTTAGATGTCTGGAATACATTCTGAAAATAATGAAATCCAAATGTATGACCAAATTAGAGAACAATTTTATCTGTGACAAAGAAGTTTTTAAAACAAGAGCAAACATCTCGACCAAACAAAACTTTAAAAGACCTATCAAACCTTTGGTCATCTTGCCTCGACTTTTCCCAGTGGGTCTCCACGGTTGAGAGAAACTTGTGTGTGAACCAGACGTTATTATGTAATTTTATACCCATTTTCCTGTCCTTTCTCTGGGCGTGCGCTCTGCTCTGTGCTGTCAGCCATGGAGAGACCATATTTAGGGAAGAGAGGACGCTTTACAGCAAAGCTTCATTGACGAAGCAAAGGGTACTTGTCGCAAATACTTGGGGGGCCACTTGTCAGCTGTTATGTAATAAGTTCAATAGCTTGGGCAGGGCCCCAGGGAAAAACTACAAAGTGCAAAGGCCTTGCTGATGCGGCAGGGGGCTACCCCGGGCATCGGGAGAGAGGAGTACTTCTGACTCTCACATGCCTGGTGTGACCGGGGCAAGTCCCCGACCCTTTCTGGGCCTGGCTTTCTCCATTTGTACGAGGAGCTCAGGGATTCTGGAAGGCTTGTCGGGGTTGACCTCTCTCCAGGAAGGTTGTATTGTGGTGAGGGTCCCCTACGACTGGGATGTGCACTGAACAATTCCTCCCACCCTCCCTAAAAGCCCAGCATCTAGTATGATGTGGAGATTCTGTGTGGGTCTCTTTGTTGTCCTCATCCCCGGGAGTCCTATGAGGGTGCTGTTGGCTGACCAACATTCTATGGAGTCCACTCCATGCTACCAGGGGATCCAACGTCTGGCCATCTCCTCCACCCTTGGCGAGGCTTTCAGTTAAAGACAAGAAGTAAATTATGGTCAGAGTTTTGCCTGATATCTTAAAACATTTGGTTGCTTGGCAAGGTAATTCTGCCCTTCCTGGGTGTTTGCACCTTCCAAATATTTGTAGACTCTTACCTCCATGCCTTGTCCCACCCCTCCAATGTCAGCTCAGTTCTCTCCCTGAGAACCAGCCCCTTCTCTGTTGAGTTCCCCCCACTCCCCTTGCCCAAGGCCGTCTGGCCAGGTCAGCTTCCTGAACCATGGCCCCATGTACCACTGTCTGTGCATTTCCCACATGGGTTAGGCTTGTCTGCTGGACATCTCAGAGATGGAAGAAGGCTTCCCAAGGGCTTGCCCTTGACCAGTGACCACAGGCATACCTGGAAATGGGGGTTATCTGCCTGTGCTGCCCAGGCTCAAGCGCCTGGCGTAAAGCTTGGGCTTGGTGACGCTTCCGAGCTAGACTGGCCTCTGCAGAAATGAACACGTTGAGGTGCTGGCTGCTACGGATAGGTGACAGATGGATGGATAATGCTGAGGTGAGCCCAGGCCCGCCCAGAGCTCTGGGGTCTGTACATTTTGTCCATCGGCCACTGCCTTGCACTATCTGGCCCATTCTCAGGACTTTGTTTTGCGGCTGATGCCCCAACTAGTTGGGAGGCGCCATTAGCTGTGCTCTTGGCGGTGGTGGAGGATGACCTGATGGTGGTGATATTTGGCAGGTATATTTGGGTACATTGGTGGGGATTCCGGAGGCTCCATTGTCTAGAAACGTGGACTCTGTTACCTCAAAGACAATGGGCTGAGGTCAACAAGATGAGAGGCGTAGGAGCGGGGGACAGAGTGACACCTCCAACAGCAGGTAGTTGGTGAGGAGCTGTGGGTCTCTAGGGACCTGGAGTGGGGGTTTGGTTTAGGTGTGAGAGGTGGTGGGTGGAGAGCACAGAGCACTGGCATGGGAGGCGACATGGCCCCCACCTCTGATGCTCCATGTGACCTTGGGCCAGCCAGAAACCCTGCTGGGCCTCGGTTCAAAATCTGTGAGATGTGAAGGCTGGTACCAACCTGATAGGCTTATGGTGAAGCCCACATCATAAAATGGAATCGAAAACAATTGTAAAGATGGCATTTTGTGGAGTCTAGACAAGAACGAGGAATTTGAATTTTTGTTGGTACTAATAGAGATAAAAAAAGAGTATTGATGATAATAAGTCTATCTCTAATTTTTTTTTTTTAAGCCGCCCAGGACAGAGGGGTTGAAAGAACAAGGAAACAGGAGTCAGACTATTGGATTTCCAGGCTTCTTGTCCCTCACTCTCTGTGTGGCCCCGGGGCCGAGTTCTACATGTCTTTGGGTATTAATGTCCCTATGTGCATGGAGGGGCCTGTAGTCCTCACTCTCTTTTCCTCCCTGGGCTGCTTAGAGGCTGGGGTGTGGGCAGGGTGCTGGCGATGTGAGCAAGTGCTTTTGCGGCCTGGAGACACCATGGGTTGGGCTGGTATTGATGGCGTAGGTTGCTGGGAAGGGCATTCAGGCCAGGACGTCTTGGTGCAACTCCGAGGACCAACGCATACCCTATGGGTTAGCCTGAGCTGGACGTTTCCCTGTGGCCCAGGTAACGAGGCTGCAGAGCTCGGTCCCTACATTTTTGTCTGGCAGTGAGGGGCTGAGTGGACCATAAGTTTGTCAGTGTGGCCATCATTAGAACTCAGACTTTGCAGGTATTAAGTGTGGCTTAACGTTTTAACTATGGCACAATAAATTTGCAGCATCAGGGCTGTGTCTAGCTACTTGGTAGACTGAAGGCATAAAGAGGCATAGTCACATTCAGCCAGATACATATCAGAAGGGAATCCTGGGCACCAGGCTTGGTGCTGGGGTTTTACAACTTTTTAATTTTTTAATAGCTTTCGTTTTAATAGAGCAGTTTTAGGTTCACAGCAAAATTGAGGGGGAGGTAAAGAGAGTTTCCATTTACTCCCCCGACCAGAGTAGCACATTTGTTATCACTGATTCACCTGTGTTGACACATCATGATCACCCAGAGTCTGTAGTTTATGTTGGGGTCCACTCTTATTGCTGTACATTGTATGGGTTTGGATAAATGTTTAATGATATGTATCTACCATGATAGTATCAGACAGAGTCGTTTCACTGCCTTAAAGATCCTCTGTGCTCCACCTGTTCATCCCTCCCTTCCCCCACCCCCTGGCAACCACTGACCTTTTCACTGTCTTCAGAGAGGTGAAGAGACCTGCTCAGGTCCCTTGGCCATAAGTGGGGAGCCAGGATTTGAGCCCTGGCTGTCTTCCTGCAGAGCTGGTGCTCCAGAGCACAGGGCTGCCTCCTCGGCATTTTGTCCTCAGGCCAGGGCAGGCATGGCCCAGGGCAGTGGGGAGGTGGGAGTGGTGGCTGAGGCTCGGGTGTGTGGGGGGGGTAAAGACAGCCACTGTGATTCCCACTCCCCTTCACCCCCACCCCTAAGCTCTGACATAATCAGGACACTGATCTTCAACATGTGGACAGTGGGCCTTGTGAGAAAGGCCAGGGTGTTGGGGGAGGTTGGGTGGGTGATAGGAGGAGGGCT